TGCTCCCATGGAACAAAGTAATCGATGAGGCAGAGCGAGGCAGGAAGAGGATGTGCCAGATGGCAGGAGAAGGACAAACAAGAAGCCTGGACCAGAGGGGAAAGCAGCAGGTGAAGATGTCTACCAAGATGGCGGCAAGAGAAAATTTTATTTAAAAAAAGAGTCATACCCATTAGGATGGCAACTATCAAAAAAACAAGAAAGTAACAACTAGTGTGGGGATATGGAGAAATTGGAACTTTTGTGCACTTTTGGTAGGAATGTAAAATGGTGCAGCCATTGGAAATAGTGCAGCAATGGAAACGGTATGGTGGTTCCTCAAACTACTATAGGAGCCAGCAATTCCACTTCTGGGTATATACCCAAAAGAATTCAAAGCAAGGTCTGGAAGAGATATTTGTACATCTATGTTTGTAGCAGCACTATTCACAATAGTAAAAAGGTGGAAACAACCCAAGTGTCCACCAACAGATGAATGGATAAACAAATGTGGTATATTCATACAATAGAATATTATTCAGCCTTAAAAAGCAAGGAAATTCTGACACATGCTACAACATGGAGGAACCTTGAGTGAAATAAGTCATAAAAGTACAAATACAGTATAATTCCACTTATATGAGGTACCTAGAGTAATGAAACTCATAGAGACAGAAAGTAGAATGATGGTTTCCCAGGACTATGGGGAGGGAGGAATGGGAAGTTGCTGTTTAATGGGTACCAAGTTTCAGTTTTGCAAGATGAAAAGAGTTCTATAGATGGATGGTGGTGATGGTTGCACAACAATGTGAATGTACTTAATATCACTGAACTGTACACTTAAAAATGGTTAAGATGGTCAATTTTATGTTGAATATATTTTACCACAATTAAAAGCCTGTTTTAAAAAATGGAAGATAATATCAGGAAAACCCCTCATGGGCAACCAAGCACCAAATATTTTTGAATAGACCTTTTGAAAGATGGTAATTCTGTTGTTTGTTTGGCTTCTCGAAAAAGAACATAAACAAAAACACATCAACACTTAAAATGGTGCTCCTGGGAACAGAACTCAGAAATATAGGAGACCAATGTCCCAAGACAGAAGACTGGGATGTTTAGCATGTGAGAAATAGGTTGGACCTGCCCTTTTAATAGGAAATATCCTACCAGTATGCTCAGGGGCAGTGACAGCCTACAAAGATTCAAGAAATCTCACCCTCTCCACCCATCTGACTTATGGGGCTGCAAGAACAGGAACACTAGGAACTCTTTCTCTTTCCCCCAAGTCAGTGAGACTGTCCCTAAAATATTCTTCTCGTGGACCACCAGGTTATTCTGAGCCCCAGAGATTCAGCAGATATTCAGAAGAAGCTTCCAGATAGAGAAGAGAGTCTGAAGAGAGCGTGGCCCATGAAAAACTAGGTTGAATTAGAGCTTCCCGCTGAAACCACAAAATGTAAATCAGTTTGAGCCTTTTTATTTTTATTTACCACATGCAGATCTTTATAGATGAGATTTAGGCTGAAGACCGAAGAAAGGATTATGTTTTCATTGTTGTTTTTGTTTTGTTCTGTTCTGTTTTGTTGGGCTTTTTTTGAATAGGAACTTTGGATTTTTACACTAAAAATTAATAAACTCTCCTCCCACTCTACACTCACACACATCTGTACACAGAAGGAAGGCTCTGCTGGAGGCCCATGATTCAGGAGCAAGTCCTGCTGGGCTGTGTGTTGGCCTGGCTTTTTGGAGAGGGGTGTGGCTGCCAAAGAATTCAAAAAAGCATGCTGAAAAGACAACTAAAAATAAAAATTAAATTTATATTTCTAGAGATCAAGGCAGGGAGTAATTTAGCAGGAAAAAACAAATTCCCAGTCTGGGGCTAAGTCTTAGGAAATGGAGAACGAAGGCTCTGATGGGGGATGCCCTTTTGTAAAATCTAATGATTTTCAATTAAGGGGCCACAAGGTAGTAAAAGCTATTTTTCATATTTCAAGCAGACTATTAGAAATTGAATATCTGCCCAGGATGTGGTCACATGCGCTAAGTGAGAAGTCAAGTTGTTTTGTATTTGCGCTGGAAATCTATCAAGTCAGTGTGGTAACACTGGTTGTCTCATCTGGATCAAAAACTCTGACTGGCCATTGATGAGATCAAGGGCATTTCTGGGATGAGATTATTCCTTCCTATTCTGTTGTATGTCTTTGATTAATAAAAATGAAATTCCAGCTGAATTATTACTTGTCAATTGCCATTTTGCAGGCAAAATCTTGCAAAACCTGGTTCACCAAGGAAAAAAATAAACGGGGTCCTTGGTGGTGAAAAGTCTGGGAACCACCTTGAGCTACCCCTCCCCCTCCCCCAAACATGCACAATTCCAAGGGAATAAACAGGTTTCCCTGGAGCCAGAGTGGAGCGTGCCTGTCGTGTGAGAAAACTCAAAGAGAGACAGTGTAAATTAACCGCATCTGGTTAGACTGAGCAAGAAGGGGAGGAGATAATTAGTTGGCATTATAGGAACAAGGGCAAAGAAGAGAGTTCTATATTTACTCAGAGAAAATCCAAAATAGACTCCTTTGCACCCATTTGGCGCTTGTGGGCAATGTCAACATCTCCAAGTTGGCAGCTGTTGATCCCAGGGACCAGATGCACAGCTCAGCCAAACCCCTGGATGACACAAACCACCATCCTACCTCCAACAAATGGAAACCTGGCTTCATCCCCTTTTACTTCCACAAATGAAGAGAAGAAGGCTAAGGGAAGCCCAGAAGACATTCAGGAGCAATAACACAAGATTCCAGAGAAGGAAAAGTATCTTCAAACAAAAGCCCTACAATGAGTAAGTCAAACAAATGTATCTGTTTATAATAAAATGGGTTCTGTAAAAACCTGATACTGCTCAGTTTACAGCACCCTTTGATATGTATATTTCCATGTGTAGACGCACAACATTTCGGAAGTAACACATATTTCAAGTGATGCAGAGACATCACTGGGCTGTTTTATTGTGCATAGGATAGTAAAAATAAATGCCACAGTCACATACTGCTCCATGATATGCAGCCAAGATATAACTTCCACCTTCTCAGAAGAATTTAAGGCATTCTAGCACAAACAATGAAGGCATCTAATACAAAAATCCTTTCTCTCCATTGATGAAAAAGACTACTTTTTTTGGTACATGTAACATGTGTGTTACATAGGGAGAAAACAGAAGCATATTGAGCTTTCTCCGTTGGTGCTGGTTATACGTGGTTTCTTAGAGTGAGAACTGCTGCTAAGTGCAGTCATTAGGATGTGTGCTTACAAGATATAAGGGGTAGGTTAGCATTTTCGGGTTTGCAAACATTTCTAAAGGTTGTTTATGGGGTGTTTATTACAAGAAAAGATGTAACAATCATGAAGTTAGGGTACCTTCTTGAAAGGGGAGCAAAAGTTAATGAAAAAGACTAGATGAAGATTAGTGAGCTCAGTGTACATGCTGGAAAGGACTGGGTCTGTGTCTAGGCTGCTCTCGTATGCTTCAAATTCCCTCAGAGGATCCCGAAGTTATCCTGGGAAGTTGGGAAATGATGTCATGAGCAATCAGCATATCCAACTCATGTAAGTTAGGACAGAGAGTGCTGGGAGGAGGCTGTGGGAGGAAGAAGAGCATGGTCTAGAAGTAAGGACAACTGTGTTCGAGTGCCAGCTCCACTCCAGCCAGCTGTGCAACTGTGGGCAAGTCAGGTCACCATTTCCAGGTGCAATCTTTTCATCTATCAAATGAGGAAGATGGCTGACCCCAAAGAGTTCTTACAACTCTTGAATTTTATGCTTCTATGTACTTTCAGAAAAAGCAAAGAAATTCCAAATAGCTCTCTAAAATTGGTCTCATCTGAACCTCCTAAGATGGCAAAGGCGCCCTACACATCCAACAAACATATATATATTTGGCTATCATCGTCTTCCAAGCATCTCAGAGAATACTGCAAAACTGCCATGGATTTCAGTAGCCTCCTGAAACCTACAGCAGCAGGCAGCACCCTCCAACTATCCCCTCCATTACACCACTGAAGAACAGACATGCTGAGTGCTTTGTCTAAGGTCAAAAGCTAGGACAGGATCAGAATTCCAGCCTCCTCATTCCTAGGGCTATGCTATACTTTCCACAAAGAAACCAAGCTGGCTTTCTGGGAAGAATGCCAGAGGTTCCATTCTCCCAACTGAGAATTCATTGGAATATCGGAATAACAACTTTGGAGACTGTGGTCTCTCCAATCCATTTCAGGACCTGGCTAGAAACATGAAAACCCAAAGAACGAAGCAATAGGGAATTATTCCGTTTTTTAACGAAAGAGAAAAAATTAGGGGTGGGAATATGGGATTTCTTAAAAATTACGTGATTGCTGGAAGTTAATTTGGTATTTCTTCATTGGTTTGTAAGTTCTGTTTCCAATCACAAAAACAGACAGCTGAGGATGCCTAAATCACATTTCAATGAATTAGCATCTTGTCTCCAAGAATCTTTCCCACTCTGAATATAGCATAGAACCCAGAATGCAGTGCTCCATGGTAGAAAAGAATCTCCCTCAATGCAACAGAGAGCTGGTCATAATCCCCTGAACTGGAGTCTAAATTGACAGTCTTCAAGCCTGACAGCAATCACTGAGAATGATATAGGGATTGCCGTCTAAGTTGGGGTACACTGCCTCTTGTAGGAAACTGATTGAAACACTACCCTGCCAGATAGGAGAGAGGGCATCCTTTACCATCCACATACTCCTTATTAGGCTCAAGTCAGTGCACCTGGAAAAGAATCCCATCATAGATTTAGAGACGCATGTTCAAAAAGGAAGGTTCTGACTTCTTCCAAGAAAGGCCAACCGGAACATGAAAACAGATGTTGGACTAGCTTCATGCCTTGAGGATAACGTGAAACCAACCTTACAGCAAAGCCCAAATGGTCAGTACTCGGAGTTGAGATTCATAAAGGAAAGAGACCAGAAATGATTTTTTTAAAAATTGCTTTTTCCCCCTACCTGTCGATGATGACAGGGTCTGAAGGAGTCTCATTTCGGTTTCCACAACTCTTCTTTTCACAACATCGACTGTCGATTGGGAAGGAACCAAAAAAGAAAAAGAAATTTGTTAAAATCAAGAAAATACAATGAGCCTACAACATAAGAATGTTCACAAAAATGAATATGTCCTAGGTGGCCTCTTCACTATCAGATACTTGAGAGCAGAATTTATGGCCATGTTTAAAAACAACACTGAACTTGAAGCCCAAAGATACTCATTCAAATTCTCACTCTATGACTTACAAACTGGGTAATTCTCAGCAAATCACAACTTTCCTGAGAACCATATTAGTAATCTGAACCAGAGATGGCTGGATTTTAAGATCTAGAAGGTCACTTCCAGTTCTGTGTTGAATGATTTTATGATTGTACATATTACATCTTTGTGTCTTAATAAATATTTGAAGAAAGGGGGGAAGGAAAATGTATAAAATATACTCCAAGTAGCTGCTCAGATTATTATAAACCTTATTAACATAATGTCTTTCTCCAGAGAACTCAGTATACTTTATAAACATTTATTCATTCACTCATTTCCATCATTTTCTAAAGATGAAGGAGGAAGGCCAGAATTATGGTGTACATTGTAAAACAGGAAGAAAATGAGGCAAGGAGCTGTAGAATGATAGCTCTAATAATTTTCACCAAGTCTAGAACAGAAACGGGACTCGACGTGTAAGTCCCATCTTGAAAACTCTGCTTCCCAAGAATTCCACCCAGCAAAGTACTGGGTACCTGGTAGATGCTCTAGAAATGCTTGTGGAATTATCTGAGAGGAAGAAAGAAAGGAGAGGCCCTAGAGCAATTACCACAGATAGGAAGGACTCAGTAGGACCTGAGCAGAAGGGACAACACTCCAATCCCAAGGTACCTGTGTGAAAGACCCAGACAAATGTGAAAAGGGCAAAGGAAGCTTGGTGGCAGGGAAGAACTGGAAAATCACCTCCCCATGTTGCCTGTCTGCTGCCTGTCAGGACCACAGACTTCTGAATACTTCTCAGCTCATTCAAGCACATGGTCCACCAGCAACACTAGTTGGTTAAGGATATAGCCTTGACATGGCTTATAAGAAAAACAGTATCATCCACACCGGTTGGAGAATATGTCTCAAATGTTAGCAACAATCAAACTAAATGCAAGCACAGCCCTTCCCATTATAGTTTCCCTACAGTTTAAGATTTTAGATGCGGTACAACAGAAAGACTGCTAAAGTGAGAATCAGGGCTCTGGTGTCCAACCCAACTCTGTCACTAACCAGCGGTGTGAATTTAGTCAAATTTCTTTAACCTCTCTGGGCTTTGCCTACCTTATATAGAAAATTAAAATGCTGGACTAGTTAATCTCCAGAGTCCCTTCCATGAAGTCTATGAGGCTATGCGATTCCCTGAGCACCCTTCAAAAGTGACGACAGGATAAGGAAAAGAGGGAAGCCATGTGGCAGCAGGGACCAAAGGCCTAACATCAGCCCAGTCATAGATATGCTTTCTCGCTCTCTGCAGTCATCTGCCCTTTCTGATCCTCTACAGAATTACAAACATACAAATGAAGAAAAGTCCATCTCTCTCAAGCAGGTATGTGTGGATTATCCAGTGAACAATTCTACTATTCTCAAAAAGTAAAATACACTTGAGAGATGCTAACAAACTTTCACCAAATGGGCACAATGAGGTTTTAAGAAATTTAATCAAATTAGTAGGAAGTAAAAGAAAAATTGTCTCAATTTTTTTAAATACCAGTTTGCCACTGGGACTTTCTGAAATAATATTTTGCCTTTGAAATTATATTAGGTCTTAAATTTTAAAATTTCAATCCATCCCAAGATTAACACCAATAAAAACTCTGGCCAGCTGCTCTCTTACCTCCCAAAGCCCTTGTCTCTCTTCCCAACTCCTTATCCCCACCCATTTCTGTCTCCCACCTCTGCTATTTCTATTGCTTATGTCAGCGGAATTCCTTTGCAGCACAGGCAAAACTTATTTCTTAGCAGCACAATTTCAGAAGCCCCATACATACTAGTTACCTAAAGACCTTCTAGCTAGACTCTCCTTAGGCATGTCAACCTAACCCAAATATGTGTGCAGTGCTGGGTACGGGTTAATTACAAGAACACACACTGTCAGAATGTGCCAATCTGCTTAGTTTGAGTAGGAATGATTCTGAGGAGGCCAAGTACGTTTGCAAAATTGCTCAGCTGAATTCAGCTGCTTTCCATGGGGATTTTCTCTGGAGGAAAAGAAAAACAGATAAAAATGTAAGCCTGGTGCCAGCATAATACAATGTGAGGAATCAACTCAGGGAAGGAAATGATATTCAAAGAAAAGTGCAGAGAAACTTTGAGACCCAATCTTCCATTTTCCAACAGTAACATATTTAAGTATAATCTCTAATGATAGTATTCAGCACAGAAAAGAGGTAGAAGAGGCTCACGTGGCTGTTAGACCATAAGAGTTAAAGTATAAAAATAATAGAACTTGGCTCTATTTGCCCCATTTGAGCCCTTCTTAAAATTTCTCTGGGTCTCTAAGTTAGACAAAGCTAATTCTTTTTCTTTCTTCCTTTCTTTTAAAAGAAAAGGTCTCATCAAGATGTCCTAGCTATTCTCTATTTGGTTTCTTAAATGACATTCAGTCCTCATGCCAGCGTCATAAGCAAAGGGAAGTGGAGGGTGGGAGATGTTCCTGAACCCACGTTCCCCAAACAATCGCCCTGAGATCAGGTACCTGGATAGTTGATTCGAAGGAACTGGGTCCACGAGTTACTCAGATAACCAACTCAATTTTCCTTTCCCTTTGCTGTATATAAAGCCTGAGTGACCAACTTGAGGTTCAGCTACTTGAGTTAAAAGGCTTTTTAGGGTTGTTTCCTAACAAGCAAGTCTCTAAGTCTGACGTTCCTGATAAGTGTTTTAAAAAACTGAACAAGACTGGAAAAGAGGAAAAGAAGGGAAAGAATTAAACAAAGAGAAGAGGAAACTGAACTTGGCACTAGGTTAAGATTGTGCTCCTAACTACCAGGAGAGGCTCAGTGTGCTTTTTTCCTAATGAATGAAAATGAAAGTGTTCCTCTGCTCCTCGGTTTGGCTTAGTTTGGTTTATTTCATTCTAGTTCTTATTTGGAGAACCTTTCACCAGAAATATTCTCAATTTGCTTACAGGCCTCTTTCATCCTCCCTATCTCCTCATGGAGTCGTTGGAGAGGAAAAGAGAAAAAATAAAACAAGTTGGGGATGGGGGGACGATATGAGATATTTTATCCCAATCCTGAATCTTACCTGCATTTTTCAGAAAGGGAGAAAGACGAGGGATAAGGGATGGCTAGAGAAGAAAAAAAGCCCCAGCCTTGGACACAGGGTGTCCAGTCAGCCAAACTCCTGCTCAAGACAAGCCAACGTGCCCTTTCCCCTCCAAAATCGTTTTTAAAATTCAACCCTCAACTTTCAAAAATCTGTCTCTAATTTCAAACTCAAATAAGCGCACAGCATGGTGGCTTTTGTTTTGTTTTCTTCTCCCCAACTCCTCCCTGCGATTGCATAACAAAAGTGTCTAAATTCACACCATCTGGCCGATAAAGACACTGGCCCCACTGCCCGGCTGGCCCATCTGATTAGGGCCCTGTCTAGCCCGCGCCTTGTGGCGAAAAGTCACAGCTGTGGGGTTTGCTTGCGCTCAATACAACTCTGTTATTAGCCAGCTGTAGGCCTTGAGACAACTTCTGTTCAAATTATAATATCTTTTAACCCTCTGAGCATTGAGGGCACAGGGGTGGCTGGCAGCGACACAACAACTAGATTTCTCCTTGCTAATAATTGGCAAAATGAACTAAAGCAGGGAAGAGGGAAGCAGAGACAATTGAGGAAGGGAGAAAAAGTTATTCTTAAAGAGATTTATTTGTTCCTCCCCCAAAGCTAAACAACAGTTTATGAGCTTTTTTACTAAAGATTACAGAACATAAAACCATTCAGGGAAATTCCCAGGTATGCCCAAGAACACAGTGCAGATGAGATTAAGTAGGTGCAATAATCATTGAGAAACAGGGCATCTGATTCATCCCTCAGTCATATCCTGCTATAACTGGCTCTTAAAATGTGGGAGAAGGAACTTTTTTCTTCTACTGGAGAATCAACCAGCTCTGACTGACAGACTGAATGAGAACTTCCCTTTTAGATATATCCAATACCTGCCATCACCCCAGCCCATCTCCCAACACACACACACACACACACACACACACACTACAGACACGGTACCCATCCAATGGATCATTTATTTACCCATAATTAATATTTGTTTTAAATTCTAGTTTTGGAAAAAAATAGCAGAGCATCTTCCCAGGTCTCAAATGCAGAGAAGTTACAATACATTAAACTTTTATATTGTGTTACTAATGTAGACTAAACTAGAGGCTTTAAAAATTGATGCTGCTACTTAAACAGCATAAAGAGGAGGATTTGATTGGGCTTAAAAATAAAAATGTCAGCCTTAACTACAGCTGGATGGGGCTTGCGAGTATTATTTAAAGTGAGAGGTATAATTCATCAGACAATGGGCCAGTTTGGGGTTTTCTTTTCTTTTTAAGAAGATAATCTCTCCAAACAAAGACATTTAAAAGTACACAGAGGAATAAAAAAACCGCCCTTCAATTAGCCAACCAAATCGAAGTGTTCTGACTATTTAATCTAGGTATTACATGCAAGTTCATCTTGGAATTGTATTTTCTTTCTGAACGAATCTATCAAGAGGCCCTGGGATAATGGAGTAGTTATCTGCTCACTCCATCACCCAACGCCTCACCCGGCAAGGAAACCTCCATTCCCCTCAGCTGCGGCCCCTGGCAGAGCTGAACTTTGCATTTGGCAAAGTTTGTTTTTCTAATACTTGGTCAAAACCAAAACAAGCATGTCTGATTGTTATGGTTTCTTCCTGACAGGGTTGGGAGGGAGATGGGGCTGCCAGGAGCTGCCCATAAAACAGTCCAAACTAAATCAGACTGCCTGCAATTACCCAAAACGAGCAAGTCTGAACTGGAAGACATTCACTGAAGCAATATCGGAGGAAGGAAGAAATGAAGCTTCCTCTCCAATCAGAGATTCTGGAGGAAGAAAAATGTGTATCGAATAAACATTTAAATTTTTATAGTAAAATAACCAAGCTCTTCCCAGAGTTTCCTCTTTATGTCCTTTCTGGCTTGCTGTGGGATCGCCAATACCCCGCACATTCTAGGCACTCAATAAACATCTGTTGAGAGAATGAATAAGTGTATGGATGAATTTCTTCTGATTTTTTTTTCTTCTAGTCAAGCACAAGAAAGGACTCAAAACGGAATGGAGCAGTCTCTCAAAAGAAAATGGGGAAAGTGTAGGAATTCGAGGAGACTGCACCTCTCACAACGTGGCCATCAGAACCCAGCTGTTGCTCCAGACCAGACCTCCCTGACAGGAGCTTCTCCCCACCCTCCCACCCACCGGTGGTGAACCAGACTGATCTCTCCACTCGGCTGTGGCTCCCATGACACTCCCCCGGACACCTGAAATCGTGGGAGAAGCAACATCCCTGCAGGAAAAAAACGCATCCGCATCATAGACAGGTGCCTCAGCTGAGGAGAAGGCCCGAAAATGGGCCGCTCGACCCTCTGGCGGTCCCTCGCCCAGACTGCCAGTCGTTCAGTGCCTGACTCGGTCACTCCACAAGTGGCCCCTCCTGGTGATCTACCCCGAGCGGCGGACCGGCGGGAACCGAGCAGTGTGGGCCTCGGGCGGGGACCGGTTCAGGGAAAGTCCCCGATCCCAAACTCGGCCCGGGCGCTGTCCGCCTCCCCGCGCCGCGGCGGACCCCGGACTGCAGGGACATGCCACGTAGCGGAGGAAACTCCTGAGATGCCAGGGGGGTGGAATCCCGAGTGGTTCCGGGTTTCCCTTCCGAGTCCTAACGGATGCGCTCTAAGAATCCGGCCTTTAAGGAGGCGTTCTAGTGAATCGGCCCCGGGGCCCATCCGTTCGCGAGGGCTCCCTCCCTGCATGCCGTCACCCCGAAAGTCGCGCCCCGACGCCCGAGCGCGGCAGACGCGCCTCACCTGCCCCGCTTTCCAGCAGAGCGCGCAGGAAAAGGCAGCTCTTACCTGCACATCACTTCGTGTGTCAGGAGAACTCGGCACATTTCCGGATTCTTATTTTGTCCCTCGTAAGCTATGGGCTGCGAAGGAGGGATGGGGGAAAGGGGAGCAGGAAGGGAAGATATGAGGGGAGTGGAGGGACAAAGAGAAAGGGACTTCTGAGCAAGCACAAAATCGTTTTCTCGCACTGCCCACAACTACATCAGGAGGTCCCCCGCTGGCAGCGCGGCACCTGAGCTGTGGCCTGGTTAACTCCAGCAAAATAATAATAGAGAAGTTTGCCCCAATGAGGACATGTTTCTTGCAAAAGGGAATGTTTGGGGGGACTGAATCTCCCCACAATTGCTTCTCTTCATTCCTTGGTTCACTTCCCCCCACCCCCAGTGTCTTCCCAGGCGGGGGGGGGGGGGGACAGGACAATTGGGGAGAGAGAGAAAAACATTGTTTTCAGAGCGGACAAGGTGCGAGTTGATGTGGAGGGGCATGTGAAGTCTGACCTAGGAAAAAGTGGAGGGTGGGGGGAGCTCAGGGACAGTCTGGGGCGGGGGACGGAGTGGGCCCCGCGAAAGGAGGAGCAGAGTGGACCGCCAGGCTCACCTGCTTGGTGACCGAGTCGATGAGCCTGACGTACAGGTCCTGCTCCGTGCGGACGCCTGCGCGGGAGAGGGCGGGCACCAGGTCAGGGCCGCGGAGCCGCTCCGGGGCTCCCAAACCCCTCCTGGCCGCGGTGCCGAGGCCCAGGGAGCCGCTCCGGGCGGGAGCGCAGGCTGAGCCGTCCTAGGAGCAAAGACCACCCACCCGCCCCCGGCCCTGGCGGCGCTTCCCGAAGCCTGGAGGCCGCCGCAAACGACCGCGACAAGGTCAACTGCCTCCCTGGAAGGAGCACCGCGCGGCGCGGCGGCCGCCGGCAGGTGCAAGCGCTCACCGTTGCTGTAGAGGAGCTGTAACTTGTAGTGCGTGCCGTTGTTGGTCTTCTCATTGCCTTGTTCCTGAAAAGACAGGCGCGCTGGAGCCCCTTGCTTTCCAGCCCCCCCAAATGAGAGCAAGAGGAGTCAGCGTGTCGCTACACCGCCTCCCGCCGCCTTTCTCTCCCCCCTCCCCCACAGGGCAGCTTTGAACAACCCCCTACCCAGCCCCGGTCAAAGGGCAGGAGCGTCTGCCACTGGCCAACCTTCCAAACTTGCCAAGGCTCGAAGCCACTTGACTGTCTCCAATCCTCTGTCCCTCTCCCTTAAAAATGTCCCCAAAAGTGCGACCACCATGCCAGGACAACAGACACCGAGCCAATGCTGCCTTTAAACAGACCCCTCCCAACCCATCCGGTTCTGCCCATCTTTAGGAAGCCCAAGGCTTCTCTTGGCAGAAAGGTGAAGGGACTTGTCATTTGGAAGGGCAACATTCGGCCCTATCCTGCCAGGACCGGAGCCTCCGGGGCCACAAGCTCAGGGACCAGGGCACAGGTTCTAGAGGGACCTCGGGAAGCGCCTGCTCTAAAGGTCGCATCGTACACAGCTGAGGAGACTGAGGCCCAGAGAGGGCAAGAGATTTTCCTTTCATCACATTTGAGGTCAAATCCAACCCCCAAACCCGGGCCTGAGTTGGGAGCAGGCGCTGCCTTGGGGAGCCAGAGTGGGAGAGAAGGCTCGGTGGGGAAGGCGGACCAAGCCTGGGCTGCGGGTTTCCACCTAGTACCTATTCAACCCACCCTGCCCGCACTGGCAGGTGCAAAATAATAAAACTAACCCGGAGAAGGGCAGCGGCGGCCTTGGGTATACTTTTAAACTATGCTCTAGTCGGAAGGGCTGTTGCTCCGCCGTCAGTCCATGACCGGGCTCTGCTAATGACCCAGAGGCTCGGTGCGCAGAGCCGCAGGCGCCCCCCGCAGCGCGTGCTGCCGGAGTGGGGGCGGAGGGAGGTGCGGGCACAGCCGCTGATTTAGAGGCTGGGGGTGAGAAGGCTCGATTTATCATCTCTGATGATGTGAGCGGAAAAGTGTCGCAAGTGACAGATGGAATCTTTAGTGCTTTGCAAGGAGATAGTTATTAGGCCGCGAGGGGAAGGGGGACCTCCACTTACTTTGTCGTTCTCCACAAAGTCTACGAAGGCGGTGCGCTCGATCTCCACCGGCTGCCCCTGCCTGTCGTAGAGCGCCAGGACGAAGTGAAAGAAGTTGGATTTCCTCAAGTTGGAGGGAGGCTGCTTCTCAAAGTGGGCCCGGGACAGGGCGACTCCGCTGTGCAGGAAGAGACACGGGGGACACCGGACACGGGGGAGGAGAGAAAGACACGATGTTACCAACGCGCCCACACGACACCGCACAGGGTCAAGGGTCCAAGTCCCTGTTCCAGAATTATGGACCCCTCCGGCGTTTTTCAAATCGGATTAAGAAGTGGGGACTCCTTAGAGGAGTTACAGTGGCCACGGGGATCGGGTGGCAGGGCCGACGCCCCTGGCCGTTGCCACTGCCGGCTGTTCCAGCCTCTAGGCGTCCCAGAGCCGGGCAGCTAACTGTCGGGCCTTTAGTGGAAACCAAAGGATCCTGGCTGCGGACCGAGGCCTGGAGCGGTCCCCCGAGGCGGCAGCCCAAATCTCGTCCCATCGGGCCGCCTCTATCTTCTCCTTCAGGTGGCGCCGCCAAATGGGTCAGGATTCGGAGCTGGGGCCCGCGGTTAGGGGAATAAGGGCCTCTTTACTTTTGAAGACGTGACTCTTTCCTTCATCTTCATTGGAGTTACCTGTCCTGGCGTTACTGCCCACATCGCCTCCCACGCTATCTCGGAAAGGCGGTGGGCGAGAATCCCTTGGGGGCGGGCGGGAAGCCCAGGGCTCAAGTCTCCGTCATACACCGAGAGGCCTCACCCTCTGCTTCCCTCGCTCTTCCGAATAGTTACACCCGGGACAGTGGCAGGGAGGAATCCCCGTGACCAGTACTAGGGATCGCGGGCCACGGAGAACGACGTGATACTGGGGCCCCACCCCCAAAACTGCTAAGCTTGGAGAAGCCAAAATGTTACTAATAGGTAGAGAGCGTCTTCGCCGGAGCCAAGGGGATCCCGGCTCAAGCCGCATCTCCGAGCGGCGCCAGCCAAACCCGCCGACCGCGAAACCCACGGTTGGAGGACCTGGGAGGCGCCCTCGAGCGTATGGGGTATGTCCACACACCTCCCTGCCGACCTGTCGCGGCCGAGGACAAACTGGCCGCCAGATCACATTTTACAGGAGACTCGGAGCCCAGGCGAGCGCGCAGACGGCCAGAGCTGCCCCTTGGCGCTGGGGTCTCCGGGCGTCGCACCCCAGGGCGCGAGCACTTTCACTCTCTTGAAGAGTGTAAAATCTTGGCTAGAATCCCCCACTCAGGCTTCCTGTTCCAACTTTAATAATTATTTGATCCGGGGAAAGCAGGAAAGTAAGGGAGGTGTCTTTAAGGAGCTCGGCTAAGGAAAAGCGCCGCGGAGCCGGCTCCGCGGTGCTGCCTGATTTCTTTCGGCCTGCAGCCCAGCGAGTCCCCAGACGGCTGCGGAAAGCCACTGCCGCGGTGTGCCGTCTGCCGAGGGATACTGGCGCGTCCCAGCCTCGGGCAGGAAGGAGGGAGCCGCCGCCCGCCCTGGTCTTCGGAGCAAGGCGACTTTGCTTCCTCTCCTTCAAGGGTGGCGGCTGGTTCGCTCTACCCGGGACACCTGGAGACGTGGCCTGTCTGGGAAAGGAGTAATTTCTCCGCGGGATGTCAGGACTTAGAGGGAGATAGCCAGGAGAGGGGATGGGGAGGTGGGAGTCGCGGGAAGAAGTTCGTGGCCTCTTTGGGGTAAGGGGGCTGTGTCACGCAGACAAGGACATGCAGACCACAAATCCCGGCTCAGCAGTGGTGATGAGGGAGGGGGACCAGAATGTCTTCGTGGGGTGGCACGCCTGGACAAGGCGTTTACTATCTCAGCACGGGGACGCTTAAAAACAAAGTCAACTTCAGGGACCAGCCGAACTAGAGGCTGGCGATGCCTGCGTTTGCCGCGCGTCTTCTTTCCTCGCCTTTCTTCTTCTGCGGCTCCTTCTACTGTTACTCCTTCGTCTTTTCCCTTTATTCTCTTCTCTCCCCTCACCCCCGCCTCCGTGCGTCTGGCCCACTGTTTTATCTCAGCGCGCGGACCCTCAAGCCTGCCCCCTCCCAGGGCTCCAGGCCGCTTTGCCTTCCCAGGCAGCCGCTGCAGCCTCTCCCGCTCCTCCCGCCGCCGCCGCCGCCATCTGGCCGCGGGGCTCCTGGCCTCCGGGAATTGCCCCGCAAGAAGCGGGAGGAGAGGCGCCCGCAAGGGACGCGGCGAAACCGGGGAGTCGCGGGGGAGCCGGCTCCGCTCCGGCGGCCGCCGCTGCAAGCTCCGGTCCTCGCGCTCTGCTCGGCTCCGGGCCGGGCCCGCCTCGCAGGAGTAGGGGCTGAGCTGCCAGGCGTTGGATGCTACTTTGTTATTTTTCCTCCCAAGACTGTTCAGTGGGGAAGGAGTAGGGGAGAAACGCAAACGACCCGGGCAGTTCAGAAACTCGAGTGTTGGCAGCGGAGTAAGTGTTCCCCTAATTGCAGCGACCTGCCTGTGGGAGGGGAGCCCCAGCCCGCGGGGCCAGGGCGACAGATGGGGGAAGAGAGAGCGAGCGGGCTGGGGGGCACACACAGAGACAGAGACGGTGAGAGCGAGAGCGCGAACGAGCGAGACACGGAGAGCATAATGGTGCGGCCGTCTGGTTACCTCTGCGCCGCGACGTTGGCATCCACCACGCCGACATTCCGGACCCAAGACCTGACCGAATCCATCTCGGCGCCCAGCGATTTCTCTTTCAGAGCTGGTCCTCTTCCTAAAGTATCTTGAATCCCAAACATTTAAAAAGTCTGCTCTACTGTCTCTTTAAAAATAAGAGTTACAACACTGTCCTCACTGTTCCCAAAGCTGTCACGAAACCGTCTCCTCCAAAGCAATCCAAGAAAAGGGATCAAGTGCCGAAGTTTCAGTCTCTCTTGAGGGGGGGAAAAAGGATAACCCGTCCCTTGCTTCACGCGTGAGGTGCGGACTGATGTAGTTAAAGTTTGGGTGTTCTCCTCCGCAAGTTCAGATCTGCCGCCTCAGGCCCTCCGCCCTAGGTCGCTCGCATCCTTCCAGCGGCAGCGCTGCCTCCAGAAAGGGATCACAATTTAGAAGCATCACCTGTTCTGGGAGAAACAGGAGGAGACTGATGGCTGCCTAATCTCTCCCCTTCCTCCTGGCCACCCCCCCCCGCTCCTCCCCACCGCTCCAATTTAGAAAAAAAAAAAAATCCCCAACAGAATCAGTTGTGAAAAAGGAAGGGGAAGACCCGGAGCCGAGAGGAGGCGGTGGCTGCGAGCGCCGCGGAGCCGGGCTACGGCCGCGCGCCGGCCCCATGAATGGGTTACTACGGCCCGGACCGCGGGAGGCGGAGCCGCGGCCCGATAAGGAGCCTCATTTGCATGGACGCTCGGGATTGGCCGGGGCTGGGCAGGCAGGGCCGACGTCCTCCGGCGGTGCGCGCCGCGCTCGGCGTTGCCGGGAGTCCGGGAGGTGAAAGGGGACAGAAAGCTGCAGGCGCTGCGTCCTTGCCCCAGTCCCCTGTGCGTGCGTGGAAGGGGGGCCCCCCCAAATCCCGCACTGAAGCGGGATAGCCGGGCCCTGCCGGCTGGGACGCGCCCGCTCAGTCTCGCCGCGGGAGCAGGAAGCTTCCGTGGATCCTGCCTCTAGATGCAGATTTTTGTAGCCTGCGGAGAGGCAGGCATGTCATTCCCAGGGCTTGGATCTGTGCGCATGTTTGTGAAGAGGCGGAGAGTGTGACCACATGTACTTATGTTCTGTGCAAACATTCCCCAGAGTAACCCAGTTCCCAGAACGGCTCTCCCCAGTCTCCTGGAGTTACATGGTGACACTTAGATTTTGTGTGCGGTTTACAAGTTGTTGAGAGAGGAGGATATATGAATGAAAGTGAGGTGGGGGTGGGGGACGAACAAGGCTCAAGTGCTATTCAAATAAATAGAGGGTCGGGGAAAACGGTCCAGCAGCTAAGGAAAATACCCCCGGGCGGAGGCGAGCGGGAGTCGCACCCTTACAGAAGAGGGGTTGCTGACAGATCGCGGCAGGCTGAGTCCGAGAGCCGCCCGGGGTTGTCCCGGGAGCCTCCCCCCTCGCAGTCCCCAAGCCCGGGGAGCCTGCCGAGGAGCTGCAGGGAGGCGGCGGGGAGTCGCGGAAACTTTGGCCGTGGCGCGCAGTCGCCGCGGTGCGGGCCGCGGGCTGGTGGCCGGGAGGCGGCGGCAGCCCGGCCAAACAGCTGAAACCCTAGACGGCTTTTTAACTACGCTCGGCAGCTCGCGGTGCCTATTAAAAATCCTCCTGGCTGGGTGTTATTTTCTTGCTTCTTTTGTATTCTGATCTGTGCATAGATCTGCTGCTGAAATCTAGAACACCAGCGCGAAAACAGATTTGAAGACAATGAATGCAAATCTGTGCTCAAAGACCATCTGCCGTGGAGGAGACGAATCAGCTGTTCCGCAGTGCGAGCGACTGCGCCGGAGCCTCCCGGCCTTATTACCCAGAGGACCTTGGCGAAAGCCTGGATTACTTTCAGGACACTTTCCCCCCACTTAGGACTCAAATTTGAGCATGAATTGAGTCCGGACCAGATCCCTTAAGGGTAGGTGGGCACTCACAAATGAATTGCGAGAGTTTGCCGCTAGAGGACACAGCGCCTTGCAGCTCGTTTGGGCGGACAGGAAGCTCGCACTTTCAGAAAATGCCGCTGTCTCGAGAAAGGGACCAGTCCACGCCTCCGCTCAACTCCGGGGGCAACCCGCGACCCTGGACTGCGCGGGCGGAGGGCGCTCAGGAAGCGCACGTCGTTACTGCAGGAATACACTAGAAAACCGATGGCGGGGGGAAGGGGTGCGGACCCTCTCTGCACAAACCCCGGGTCCGGGGATTGGAGCAGTTGATTAAGGGGGGGCGGGGGAGGGGCGGAGAACCTGAAACCCCCTCCTCTGTGTTGTGTTGACTGGGCATCCCGACCCCCGGGCTCTGGCTTGGTCCTGTTGGTTGGACAAGAGGGGCAGGGGGAGCAATGAAGGGCTTTTGGGTATCAGAATATGGAATGGGACTGCTGTAAAAGCCAAGTAAGAAAGGAGTTGTCTATCTCCTTAGAAGACAGAAGAAAGAAAGGAGGAGGATGGGAGAGAAATTTGTAGGAATGAAACTTATTACCCTATTTCAACTCGGCAATTCTCTGTTATATGCATGTTTTATGGATAATTTCGGTCCCTGCAAAAACTAAGTCCCCGGAGTCTTCTACCCTGGCCCGCTCTGTTTATAAACCTCTCCGAATCTCAAGTAATCACCCACCCCCATCTTTGCCCGCAATCTGTGCCCAGCGGAGCCAATGCCTCGGGCTCCTTGGCGGAGAGTGTGGAACAGCCCATGAGCCCTTCAAGGCTTGTCGATGAGCTCGGTGATTTTTTTTTCAAGGGGCCTCTGATCTACTGCACCTCGACGCTGCCCAGGAGAGGTACCGAGCGCAGCTCAAGGGGTGGCAAGGCAGCCTGGACCGAGGCCTGGCCTGGACCGTCTGCCCCTGGGGCCTGGGTTGGCTGGGGTTAAAGGGCAGACCCGGGGTCGAGGACGCTGGCTCTTCTCTCTCCCAACAGCTGCCACCCAAATTATGCCCCTTAGGAAGCGAATGAATTGGTCCTTTCTCCGGGGTGCCTGCTGCCCGCCCCAAACCAGACAGCCGCGCACGGCGGGTGCCCCCACCGCACCTCCCAGAGACAAGTTCAGGGGCCGTGGGCCCCGCCGGGAAGCAGTTCGAGCGAGCCGTGGCCCCGGAAATTTGACCTGGAGGGAGGGGAGAGCCGCACCGCTCCTCGCCCGCCGCTCTAGGGGCGCCCTCCCCGCGGCCGCACGGGGCGCTTGGGGCAAACGTCCGCCACACTGCTGGGGGCCCCGTGGGCTGCGAGCCGCGGGCGCCGAAGTTCCCTCTTGGCTGGGACGAGGTTCCCTGGCTAGTACCCGGCGGGGGGCGGAGGGGGCTGGGAGGCAAGGGAAGCGGACTGGGGTCTAGCAAGGCGGCGCTTCGGCCTTCGGGGAGCAGGGAGCATTTCTGCCAACCGAGTTGGCTTTAATTAGGTTTGTGTGGTTTGGGGGAAGGGTGGGCGCAGAGTTGGCGACCCGCGCCGGAGGAATGAGCGTCGGTTACTGATGGAGTGAGCGGCGGCGGCTGCGCCTGGCGGGTCGCTCCCATCTCTATCGCCTTCGGCTACCCGCGAACAAACCTCCTTTTCGAACGCGCCACACAAAACCCGCCCTGAGCCGCGCGGGCCCCGGCAGGCGCAGCTGCGGCCCCGGGAAGCCCGGCCCGCGGGGGTGCCGAGTCCGCGCGCGCCTCCGGGCTCCGGCCCGCCAGCTTCGTTCCGCGCCTTGCCGGGGTCGAGAAAAATCCGAGATGAACGTTATTAAAATTCTTCACGACAATCTATTTACACAAAACTGAGGTGGGGTGGTGGCATTCCGGCTTTTACCCTGTCCCCTCCTTTGTTCACTCTTCCCAAGGAACCCCCGGGTTTTTCCGTCCACCTTTCACATCTGCACCTCAGTGAGATATGTTCAATTTCCTCCCGACTGGTTTTAAGGCCCGTTTCCCCAAACTCGTTCCGTCCAGTCCTGGGCGCCGCGTCTCTCCTCCGGGTTAGAGGTTCGGAAATTTTTCTTAGAAAATTGCTCTCCGGGCCTCGTTCTCATCCCACAGTGCCCTGGGGTGAAATCAGAGGTGTGAGAATACCCCGTCCCCCTTACAACCTGACCTTCACCGCCACCCCCAGACACACACACTGCGGCGCCTGGGTCCACGCAACCAGAAGAGCAGAGCCTGGCTAGTACCCAGGGAATTCGATCCTCAGAGACAGGCTGCGTTTTGTAAAAGAAGTAAGTGGGAATCCCTGTAAGCTCTCTTCGGACATGAATTTTCCAATTTGTTTATTTTAGTTGGAACCTTTGCTTTTTATTTGTCTGAGTAGAAATAAATGGATTTGCTCACCATCTCAGAATCCTGCCGAATATTTAGCTCACAATTCTTCGAGAAATAATTTTTTAAAAATATCCAACTCCACTAATTCCCACTCCAAATTTCAACTTTGGCATTTTTCTTACGGAAACTGGACTTGTATGCTCCACAAATGAGAATTCCCTAGAAAGGGAGGGGAGAAGGAAACTACTCTCTTCACAGTGCACGACAAATATTTCATGAGGACCCCACCTTCCAGTTGGAACAGTTCCCTTTTAGGACAATTTGGTAAGAAGTTAGATTCACTTCTTGATTTGTGTTTACATAGTGAAGGGGATTCGAGCGGGAATCGCTGCAGAAATACTGAGGACGAACGTTTTCCAGACACACGGTGTTGCACCCAGGCCAGTCGGGTCACTGAAATGAGTTTACCAAAATGGACTGAAGGAGCCAGAGTTGGCTCTACCCTAACACTTGGCAACTCCAGAAAGTCTCTTCCTTCTCTCTCCTCCTCCTTTTCTTCCTCTTCTCCTCTCTCTGCTCCCTCTCCTCTCGGTATTCCCCCTCAGGAGCACCCTTCCTTCCCATTCCCTTATTCCTCGAGCAGAGCGAGTGAGGGAGCTGGAGCAGGCAGAGAAGCGGCAAGGTCAAGAGAACAAATTTTCGAAGCGGCAGCCGCGTTTGGAGGTTTGGAGCGCGGACGTGGGAGCTGGGCCCGCCGCAGCACGGGAATGGCGGGGTGAGGTGTGTGTGTTGGGGGGCAAGTGATTTATAGAGAGAGAGGCGCCTGGTTCGGCCTCCACGCGAACCTGGGGACCCGATTTTCTGGAGAGGTGGGCGGCGCGCGCGTCAAGCGCGGGGTTGGGGCTGTGTTCGGGTGAATCGGCCGGTTGCAGCCCCTTCTAGGTACCCTTGCACGAAGACGTTGGCATCTCTGTCACCACGGTATGAAGGCGCAGCGATCTAGGGGCAAATTGACCCGCATTAAGAGTCCCAATCGAGCAGGTCTCCACGCAGGATAAGGCTGAGAGGAAGGGACAAACGGACGGAGGCAGGACGTTCACCCAGCACTTCCTGGTGCCAGGCGCTGCCACACACTTTCTTACCCTTAAGCTTGACAGCAACACTTCGAGTGGGATTTATATACCCCCATTTTACAGATGTACAAAACGAGGATGGGAAATGACAAGTGGCATCTCAGCCAAGTAGGGAACAAAG